AGAGGACAACACCACGCTACTCCCATCCCCGGCACACCCGCCAAGGAGACCGTTCAAGGTTGCTCCGCCTCCGCCGTGGAAGAAATAATTCACGTTGTCTTGATCAGGAATGTCTTTCTCTTGTAAGAGATTTTCTGGGTGTAATGGAAAAAAGGTTGAGTTGAGGATGGCTCATTTCGCAGGATTCCGGTTATTATTCCAGTAAAATTTCACTTTCAAGACTGAGGAACTTGGATTTTCTAACTGGTTTTGGAGAGAGCAGTTTCCTCTTGAGAGAGCAGTAAAAGAAGACGATGAACGTATTATCGTCCTGAAAAATTATCCTGTTTTAATTATTTTATAAAAATATTATTTTTTATTGATATTCGGGGCAAAAAGTTGCCCTCATCTGATATAACCATAACCCTCTTTATTTTATAAGAAATATAAAAATTTTATCTTATACATGACACATGTCAACACATGTCAATGTAGGAGTGAACACACGAGTCGATTCAAACATGAGACTTCTCTCCATATGCAATGACTTGTACAGAGGAAGGCAAAGTAAATACTGTTGCAAGTCGTATATTGCTTGGGAAAGAGAATACTAGCTAATAGTGGGTCTTAAACAATGCCAAATAGTGGGTCTTGGCTTCTGAAATTTTTATTAGATAGCCTTAACCCTATATTTTAAGGTCTCTGGAAGGCATACATGTAATTATAATTTGATAAAATTCTTCACATTAATTGATACAATTTAAGAATGAACATACTTGCTTTCGGTTTGAGCTAGAAAATAGCATAGTCCAAATTTCCTACTAACCAAACTCTACTATTTTTTCTACTAACCCAATGAAACAAATCCACCCATCCATAGTGGTGATAAGGGTCCTATTTCTTTGCAACAATTGACCAGGTGTTATGCTAAATCCTCACTACATTCATAAAAATAAAAATATCAACCTCTTTGCATAAACCTTTTCTAAAAATAATATCTATTTTCTTTTTAAGCACCAAAGAATGAAGTTCGGTGTTCCACCTATCACACCCCCTCCTCTAATCTTGTTTTCTTTAGGAGGTGCTGCAACTCCAATGCTCCTTTTGTAGTTCGACTCTCTCTCCAGCCTACTATCCTCTCAACAACTTCCCGACCAATTCACCTCTCCTTCAATGGTGACTTTGATCTTAAACACTAAACCTTGGAAAAATCTTTTTTTTTTTTTCATATAAAATTTTGTCAACCATAATTGTATTTTATTGATCATCATAGAATAATGAAGATTTTTTTTTGAAACGCATAGGATAATGAAGATAATTTTTATTCGTATAATACTTTTATTTGAAATAAATATAGAATAGAAGAAGTGTTCTTCACTGTCCACGTAGAAGAAACATATAAAACATAGATATTTTTAATTATTTTAAAATTTTAGAATGAATAATTTCAAAAAAAAGTATTAACAAATGAATTAACAGCCGTCACCTTTAACATCCCTTCCTTCATCCCTGTTGCTTCTCCGGAGAGAAAAGGGGAAGAAGAGTCTTTTTCGTGGATAACTAAAAATTAGGGGATACTAGCAGCCCCCGTGCAATGCATAGGAAAAAGATGTTAATGTTTGTTGGGCCTAAAACTTATTGATCTATGGGGCTACACAACCCGAGGGTAGGGATGACAAATTTCCCCATCTCCATAGAATATCCGGCCTCCCTGACCAAGCGGGGATGGGGATAGAGACTACCTTAGCGGGGACTGGGTGGGGATAGGATTAATAGGAATTAATTTTAAACTCAAGATCGAGACAGGGAGTATGATCCCCACTCCGAGCTCGTCCATTGTCATTCCTATCCGAGGGGTCGTCCCCCAAACCCATAAGTATAATTCCAATAATTATGGTAATGTAGTAACCAATACATATGGAAATTATTAAAATTTTCCAATTAGTTATTTGAATAATCGGAAGTTTTATAATTTTACTTTCACTAAATTAAA